CCCCCCCCCCCACTCTCGACGCTCACTCGTCACTCGTCGCTCGTCACTCGTCACTCGTCACTCGCCCCATCACCGGCCACCCGACTCCTTCGCCCCTTCGCCCCGCCAGGTCACACTGTGTGCAGCACGCGGGGGCCATGGAAGGATACACTGTGAAAGAGGTGCTCGGACGCGGCTCGAACGCTGTGGTCTTTGCAGCCACTCATGCCTCTGGCACAGTCTGTGCTGTCAAACGGGTACGCCATGCTCACCAGCCATTCACGTCGTGAGCGTCTTTTTGGCGCGAAGCTTCGCGCCAAAAATATGGCTCGTCACCCTTTTTCCAGCCAGACGTCTCCATCATCTGACTCACATACTCACCTCATTCTTATCCTGGGGTCGTGGGGAGGAGACAGATTGATAAGAGCAGAATGCGCGCAGCAGGAATGACAGGGAGGATCGTGTCCGAGGTCTCGATCCATGCGCAAATCGAGCATCCGGGCGTGGTACCGCTGCTGGCCTTTGAGGAGGACGACCGATTTGTGTACCTCGTCCTGCCACTGGCTGAGGGAACTCTGGCAGAGGCTGTGGCGGATCTAGGCGGATTGATGGATGAACAGACTGCAGGAGCATGTCTGGCGCAGATCACTGACGCTGTGGCCTACCTGCATGCGCATGGCGTGCTCCATCGCGATCTTAAGCTGACCAACATCCTCGTCATGCCGCAACACGCCAGCAAGGCGAAGGAGAAGAGGACCGGGTGGAAGCTGATGGTGGCCGACTTTGGCCTTGCTGCTAAGGTCGACTCGCCGCACGATGCCCGGGCCACCCGGTGCGGGACGCCCAACTACATGGCTCCCGAGGTTGCTTGCGCTCTGCCGCACTCGTCGGCGGCCGACGTGTGGGCGCTCGGGGTGCTGGCGTACACGCTACTGGTCGGCCGCCCGCCGTTTTCACCCTCTGATGCGGCTGAGGCGCGGCTGCCTGGCGTCCGCGGCGCCCGTGCCACTCTGGCCAAGGTCAAGCGCGGCAAGTACGTCCTGCCGGACACCGTCTCGCCGCTGGCGGCCGACTTTATCTCGGCTTGCCTCCGCCACCGTCCCGAGGACCGACCGACCGCGGCCCAGCTTGTTGCGCACCCGTTTCTTGCCGGCCCGGTTACCGTCTCGCCTGGTGCCGAGTGGGACGCACTTGTGTACGGCAGCCCATCCAAGGTGCCTGGTTCGCCGATGACGGTCGACTCGCCGATGACGGTCGATGTTGCGCGGAGCGCCGAGGACTCTATGCCTCCATCACTATCACCGTCGCCGTCGCTGCCACCGTCGCCACCCCCCCTGTGGCGCCGCTTGTGCCGCTGGACGCCCGCGGCGTGACTTGCGTCCGGGTGGAGCGGACAGCTTTTGGATCGGTCTCTGTCCTGCCCAACTCGGAGGTCGGTGTCGAGGTTGTCCCGCTCAACGCCATCCTCCTCGTCGCCTGCGATGGGACGGCGGTGCGTGTCGGCCAGCTCGACAAAGCTGCCGAGTTGGGCGGTGGGCTGGAGCGGACGACGTACGGGCTGGAGCATCTGCCAGTCGCAGCACATCCGTACTATGATGCTGCGCGCGAGTACGTGGCCCGTGTCCGGGCCGCCACGCCAAAGGTCACGCTCCACACGCCGCTGGGCGTGTTCTCGCTCTCAGCAGCCGGAGCATATGGTGCGCGGTTTGGCGATGGCTTTGAGATGAGCTTTAAGCCTGGCCACAACTCATACGAGCTGGCGGATGGAACGTCGGTCTCTGCCCATCTGCGCAGCGCGGTGGCGCCGCCGCTGGCGGCTCGGTTGGAAGCCTTTGATGCGGCGCGGGCGGCGCTAGATCGACTCGAGGCCGAAGAGTGCGCGGTCTTTCCCTTGGTGGCGGTCGACCCGCTGCTCGGTGCACTCGGCGGTGACGCGAGTGCTGGAAATTGGACGGCGTCGTCGTCAGCGTCGACCACTTCAGCCTCATCGTCGTCTGCGTCGTCTTCCGGGCGGGCTGGCCTCTCGCCACCGGTCCACGTGCCTGGGACCGGATGGGCCTTCCGTGACGGCGGCGCCAACATGCACCTCCTCTTTGATGACGGGGTGCACGTGGAGATCCCAGCATCGGCGACGACGGTGCGGATGACATCGGTCGATGGCGGTGCGTTGGTCTTCTCCCTCGACGCTGTTGTGCCGCCCGAAGTCCGCGCCCGCCTCGCGCACGTCCCTGCCTTTGCCAACGCACTCCGCTCACAGCGACAGCCACCAGCCTCCGACCGATAAGAGCACCAGTATGCGTGCCCTGAGATCGGCATACCACCAGCCCCCCCCCCCCTATTAATCGATAGTGGTCGCATTCCCCCTGCCCCCACCGCAGCATCACCATCCCCCCCCTTCCCCATCCCTTCATCACGTTAATCGAAACTCCTACACACAATATATTCGTTCGTTCCTCCGAAACGCCGCCGCCGCTTTGCCATGGAATGGGTGCGATATGGAATGGGTGCGATATGATGGAATGGGTGCGATATGGATTGGGTGCGACATGGAATGGGTGCGATATGGAATGGGTGCGACATGATGGAATGGGTGCGATACGGATTGGGTGCGATATGGATTGGGTGCGATATGGAATGGGTGCGATATGATGGAATGGGTGCGATATGGAATGGGTGCGATATGGAATGGGTGCGATATGGATTGGGTGCGATATGGAATGGGTGCGATATGGAATGGGTGCGACATGGAATGGGTGCGACATGGAATGGGTGCGACATGGTATGGGTGCGATATGATGGAATGGGTGCGACATGGAATGGGTGCGACATGGAATGGGTGCGACATGGAATGGGTGCGACATGGAATGGGTGCGACATGGTATGGGTGCGACATGATGGAATGGGTGCGACATGGAATGGGTGCGATATGATGGAATGGGTGCGACATGGAATGGGTGCGACATGGAATGGGTGCGACATGGATTGGCTTCCGTTTGTGGTGGCGGCCGAGTGGCGGACAGCGGAGAGCGGAGAGCCGAGAGCAGAGCGCGGAGAGACGAGAGGGAGAACGAGAGCAAGAGCAAGAGCAGTTGACGCCAGCGGAGCCAGGTAGCTGCGTGTGGTTAAGAGCAAGAGCAAGAGCAAGAGCAAGAGCAAGTGGGCATATGGGTAACCAGGGCTCCACGGCGTACTCTGACGCCCTCATGCGGGCCGAAGGCTCGGACGACCTTGTTCCACCTCGTGCCATGTCATCATCATCATCATCATCAGGAGCAGCAGGAGCAGCAGGAGCAGCAGGTGGTGGTGGTGGTGGTGGTGGTGGTGGTGGGGAAGGGGGGAGGTATGGGCATGGAGGTGGGTATGGGGAAGGTGGACACGACATGGCCTCGTCGGTGGAAGGGGATGCGGCCATGCATGGGTCGGACACGGTGGGTATGGGAAACGCCTCGGCTGTGCCCGTCAACAACGTCAATGGCAACAACAACAACAGCAACAACAACAACAACAACAACAACAACAATGTCGCACTGGCTGGCGACGGTCAGCACGCCGCTGCTCGCTCTCCGTGGGATGTTCAGACTCGGCTCGTCACCGGCTCGGGGTTGTACTTTGGTGGCCATTATGTGCCTGGGAGGGGCATGGCCCAGCCATCGGTTCGTTGATGGAGAAGGGGGGGGGAGAGGGGGGAGAAAGGAAGGGGGGTGGGCATCAGAAGGGATGAAGGGGAGGAGGGGGGGGCTGGGGAAAGGGGGAGAGGGAGAGTTGGAAGCGGGGCCAAGGCTGGGATCGTCTTGCGCTCGTTACCCACAACTCACGACATTGTCTATGTGTGCAGGCACGTGAGACTGGCCCCCGCCCGCACGTGCAGGAGACAGTTTCCATCGATGCGGGCGTGTACATCAACAAGGAGAGCCTGGCTGTGAGCGAGGACTCGACGTCGGGCCTCTACACCCTGTCCTTTGACTTTGATGCAGCGGTTGAGGGTACCATGGAGGTCTATCTGGCTGCCTCAGAGGAGCTGGCTGGCAACTCGCCGCTTCCGGTCATTGTCCATGCTGTTGTTGGCTCCGTCGCCGCCCGCCCAGCGCCCACCCCAGTCGCCTTTGGCCCGGGCCTCGGCCAGTCGTTTGAACTGCCGACGACTGACGGTCTGGACCTGGCGGCATATGAAGAGCTGGCGCCTGTGGCCGATGCCGATGGCGCCGGCGATGTCGACGACCATGCTGCGGCCGACGCCGACGTCGAGACCGGAGACTCTCCAGCAATCGTTTCAGTGCTGGCCCAGCTCCCGGAATCGGCCTCGTCGTCGCAGTCTGACGATGCTCGCCCGCGCATCTTTCCGCTGGTGGTGGTGGTGCGGACAAGCGGTGGTGCGGACGCTGTGCCTGCGGGAGGGACGGGAGAGGCTGAGAGCCTCCCGGTGCCTGCGGCGCCGCAGGTCCAGATCCTCTACGCCTCGCTCCGGCGATCGTCGTCAGGCGCGTACTCGGTCCGCACCCTCCGTCAGAAGCTGGTGGTTGGCAACGACGAGGTGTACCTGCTGCAGGATGTGTTCGGCCTCGACGCCGAGGAGGAGGATGGGACGACCGAGTGTGTGGTGTGCATGTCCGACCCGCGCGACACGCTTGTCCTGCCCTGCCGCCACATGTGTCTCTGCGGCGAGTGCGCCGAGGAGCTCCGCGTTCGCTCCTCGCGCTGCCCGATTTGCCGCACCCACTTTACCTCGCTTCTCTCCATTTCGGACCCGTCCAAGCCGGCGGCGGCTAGCGATGGCTCCGAGGCGGAGCCCGATAACGGCGGCGACGATGGTGGCGACGACTCGCTGGCGTCGGATGACGACCTGCTGGCTGCTGCTCCGGTCTCCGACACCGACGGCGAGGCTGGGCAGCCGCTCATCGAACTCTCTTAGATGCGTGGTTTACACGTACTCGACGCGCAGAATAGTAAAGGCGAGTGTAAGCCCGTGAAGCGCGTTGGCTACAGCGACGGCCTCGTCCACCGAGGCCATGGTCACGGAAGCAACCTTGCCTCCGACCAGTGTCGAGGATACCACAGAGCCGCACGAGTCGGAGATGGCGGAAATGACGGCGGCGGCCGAGACGCAAAGCGCGGAATCGATTTTCTCGAGCGAGATGGCGAGCTCGGTTGTGGGTGTGCCGATGAGCTGGCAAACGGTGGTGAGTGGTTCGAGTGAGGTGATGGAGGCGACGGCGTCGGCGTCGTCCGGCGCCACAGGCGAGAGCAGCGGCGGAAGATAGCTCAGCCGCGAGCCGTCGAGAGTCCAGCCTTCCTGGACCATGATCTCGCCGCGAAGCGCAGACTGGATGCCGCGGAGGATAGGAGCCGAGACGTAGGTCGACTCGATGATCGCGGCGTCGTCGCTGCTCGGCGAGGGGCGGCAAGGAGGCTGAGCGCGTTGAGCGGCGAGCCGCGGAGCGACGGGTGCAGCGGCGGGAGGACCGGCGGGTGGGAGGCCGTAACATCGACCGAGAGCGGAAGCATTTCGACGACGGTGGAAATGAGCGTCCGGCGGGCGGTGCGGTCGAGGACTGGCAAGCGGCCGTGGGTGGCGGCGTGGATCTGGGCAACCTGGGCAACGATGAGGCGCTGGACAAAAGCGAGCCAGGCGAGCTTGTGGCGCGGCTGCGAAGCGACGTTGAGCTGCTCGATGGCGGCGACGGCAACGACGCGAATGGCGAGAAGAAGGGCGCGGCTGGCATCGTGGGATGAGGCGTAGAGTGTGCTCCAGTTGCGGAGACAGATGTCGACGTCGCGGAGCGAGGGCAGGGAGCCCATGCTTCCGTTTTCGGAAAGAAACTCGTAGACAATAAAACGGACCTCGATGGGAAGCTTGCGGAGGATGTCGGCGGCGGTAGCGAGCTCGTGGCGGACTGTAGCTTCCTCGGCGGTAAAGACGGAGACACCCGAGGTGATGGCGCCGACAGCGCCAATAACCTCACCGGGCGGGACCGAGGCGGCGTAGAGCGGGGTCTGGACCACTTTTTCGAGCAATGCCCACATGCCAACCGAGGCACGAGCACACTTAAAGCGGGCATAGTACGCCATACGAAGCTGGTTGACATGGTGGAAGCCTGCATCAGCAATCTCGCGCATGCCCATAATTGACACGATCGACCCGTTCTCGGTCGTGGTCTGCGTCGGCGCGTACGGCACTGGCTGCACGGTGTCGTTGATCTTGAAGCTCGAGTGCGAGGCCGCCGGCGCCTGCTGCGCCGGCCTCGCCTCGCCACTGCGGAGTCGCTTCTGGGCCATCGGCGACGACGGCTGCCGCAGACGGTCTACTGGAGTGGAAAGCGGATTCGAGAGGGAGGCAAGCATGGAGGAGGAGTGAGAGACGTTGTCGTCAAAGTCGAGCTGGCGATAGCGGCGGCCGATGGGCGCTGTCGCCGCCGAAGCGGTGTCCAGCATAATTGTCAGTGTGCCGGCGGCGATCACCATGTTGGTCTCGATGAAGTTGACCAGCGGCTGGATGGCTGACAAGTCGGTCATGATCTTCTCCAGGGTGTCACGGGCAAGAGCGGCGTCGACGCCGCTGCCATCGTTACGGGAGGCGCAGACGACGCCGAAGCAATTGAGATTGTCAGCGAGTTCATCCCGGAACCTGTTTTGCTCGAAGAGCTGCGGGATGTTGTGTGAGTGGGGAGCGGGAGAAGGGAACGATTGCCAGTCGACGACCATGACTACGGAGACCAGCATGATGGCCAGCATGATGATTAGCATGATGACTAGGCCTGACGACCAGCCTGACGACCAGCCTGACGACCAGCCTGACGACCAGCCTGACGACCAGCCTGACGACCAGCCTGACGACCAGCCTGACGACCAGCATGACGACCAGCCTGACGACCAGCCTGACGACCAGCATGATGACCAGCCTGACGACCAGCATGATGACCAGCCTGACGACCAGCCTGACGACCAGCCTGACGACCAGCATGATGACCAGCCTGACGACCAGCCTGACGACCAGCATGATGACCAGCCTGACGACCAGCCTGACGACCAGCATGACGACCAGCATGATGACCAGCCTGACGACCAGCATGACGACCAGCATGATGACCAGCCTGACGACGTTCGTCCATGTGGTTGACCGAGTGGACGACTGCGTTGTAGGTGACGGCGTTCTGAGTGACCAACTCGGAGAGGATGTACAACCAGGCCTGCTTGCGGAGGATGGACATGGTGCTGGGTGCTTGGTATGGTCCTTCTCTCTCTCTCTACACACACACACGCACACACACGCGTGCACGCACACAGTGGGGTGTATGTGGTGGTGGTAGTGGTGGTGGTAGTGGGAGGGGAGGGGAGGTGCCTGTCGCATTGGTGGTGATCGATCGGAGAGTGATCGATCGGAGAGTGATCGATCGCTGGGTGGGGAAGGTGAGGGGGGAAGGGGGGGGGGGTGATGGAGATGATGGGAACGATGGGGATGGTGGGGGTCACGGTTGTGAGACATTCCCCCTCCCTCCCTCCCCCCCCCCCCCCCCCCACCTCAAACTCCATGACCATATCCAAGTTGATCCTGCATCATCACATCCATCCCCCTACCCCCCCCCCCCCCTCCTCTCCCTCTTCCCTGTCGCCATCATCACCCATAGTTGGGCGCCAAAGCGACAGACCGTGTCGGCGACGGGCGAACGACCACTGGACGACAACCACCGGACGACCACCACCACCAGATGACCACCAGACGACCACTCCTCTCCCCCTCCCCAACCTCATGCCAGCACTTACCGAGGCATACACAGTGCGGCTAAAGGAGTGTGCCTCTACTGTGTATGCCCAGTACAAGGAGTTCAAGAGGAGGGCTGCCGAGGCTGTCGAGTCCGGTCAGCCTGCTTCGGATGCGGTGTACGTTGTGATGGACATGGGGGAGGGGAGGAGGAGGAGGGGGGCGTTGATGGTTGATGGTGGTGGAGGATCATGGTCATGGTGGTGATGGTGTTCGAAGTCATGGTTGTGGTGATGGTGATCGCGATCATGGTTGTGATCGCGATCATGGTTGTGGTGATGGTGATCGCGATCATGGCTGTGGTCATGGTGATCGCGATCATGGTTGTGGTGATGGTGATCGCGATCATGGTTGTGGTGATGGTGATCGCGATCATGGTTGTGATCGCGATCATGGTTGTGGTGATGGTGATCGCGATCATGGTTGTGGTGATGGTGATCGCAATCATGGTTGTGGTGATGGTGATCGCGATCATGGTTATGGTCATGGTGATCGCGATCATGGTTGTGGTGATGGTGATCGCGATCATGGTTGTGGTGATGGTGATCGCGACCATGGTTGTGGTCATAGTATGGTGGCGTACCCGTGATTGCACACGTGGCTGCACCCATGGGCGATCATGGGCATGTTGATCCGGATCACGCTTAGGCTTGCACTCCCAACTCACTTGCGCCCCTCCGCAGTGCCACATCGCTGGTAGAGCCGTTCAAGGACGTAGCCAAGACACTGAATCGCCTTGCGGGAACAAAAGGCGTGCCAGCCAAGATCATCAAGGCCCGCTCAAAGGTGGAGAAGGCTATCAACACATTCATTGACGCGCTGACTACCGCCGGCACGCCTGTCATCTTTGGCTCGGAGATCACGGCGGCTCTGGGCGGCTTCCTCGGCTCGGTCATCGCCCTCGAATCCCTGCCTCCCGAGCCAACGCCAGAGGAGCTTGACACACACGATGGCGTGCTGCGGCATGTGGCTGCCTCGGAGATCCTGGCGGCCGCCTTTGAGAGCCTTGCTGCTGCTCCCGACCTCGAACGCAAGTCATTCTCCAGCTCCAACAGGCTGTCGACCCCTGCCGGCTCGGTCGATCTCGGCGGCTCGTCGGTTGCCGACGCTTCTCTTTGCGACTTTTACTCCACCACTCTTGTCGAGTACGGTCGGGCCCTGCTCGACGCCCACCGGACCTCGCTCTCCACGCGGCTGATGGAGTCGTCGCCTGATCTCGCCCGCCCGCTCCTTGCCCGGTTCAGGCTCTCTCCGACGCGCTCGTCGCCTACCACAGCGGAATGGACGCGTCGACGCCGCTCACTACAGCATGGGCTCCGCTCGCCATTGCCTTTGGCGATCTCGAAGCGGTGCTCGTCACTCTTTCGACCTCGTCCGAGCTCTGCGCCGCACACGCCCGCAGACTCTCGTCCTCGCTCGCCGCTGTCGCCGACTCGGTTCTCGCTCGGCCTGGGACCCCGTCGCCGGCGGTCTCGGATGCCGAGCTTGAGCATATGAGCACGCTCTCAACACTCTGCGAGCATGCCCTCGCCGCTGCCCTTCTCAAGCCGGTCACCAAGATGGACTCGGCCATCGACTCGATGGGCACAGACATCTCCAAATTGCTTGTCGCCCAGTATGCTTTCAACGCCACGGAGACCAACGAGATCTCCTTTGAGGCCAACGAGGTCATTACCCTCATCTCAAAGGTTGACGAGCATTGGTGGATCGGCCAAAAGGCTTCTGGCGAGCGCGGCATGTTCCCCTCCGACTACACCGTGTGGTACAAGGACGCGCTTGCCGGCCTCGCCGCCGACGACGCCACCTCGGCACCTCTGCCGTCTGTTGGTCCGTCGCCGCGTCTTGCGGCCTCCATCTCTCACTCGCGTGTCGTCCATCCACCGACCCGCGCCGATCCACACCTGCAGCTTCAGGCTGTCTCGATCGACGGCATCGATGTCGGATCCGGCGGCGAGGCCTTTGCTGTCCGCCTCATCGAGAGCGACACTAGCTCGGGTGCCCGGCTTGCGGCCTCGCGCCATGACATGATCGACAACGGCGACGGGACGTACGATCTTGATCTGGCGCCGCTCCTTGGCCACACCAGCTCATCGTACACGGTCGAGGTCCAGCTCGACGGCACAACGCTTGAAGCACCCCACGCAACGGTTGTCCTTGCGCCGACTGCTCACGAGCTGTCGCCGCGACTCGAGGTTGTCTACTCGCAGATCAAGGATATGGCGACGCGGTTCTACAGCGAAAAGTACAAGGCGCTCAAGAAGGGAAGCGGGTCGAATCCCAAGACGCGACTGCTCCGCGATCCGGCCCGCGATGTGGCGTCGGTGCTCAACAAGCTCGGCTCGGCCAACGAGTCGCTTGCCAAGCTTGCCAAGGGCTGGACACGGCTCGACAGCGCTCTGGCTGCCTTTGCCGATGCTGCCGATGCCCTCGCCGCTGACACTGCCTCCGCCAACATTCCGCCGGTGTACGTACAGGGCGTGGCCGACTTTGCCACCTCGGTCCGCGCTGCGTACACCAACCTGACCGCTGCCAATAGCGCCATGTTTGCCTCGAACGCTATCCCGCCGCTGCCGCTACAGGAGACCCATATGGAGGCCATGCTCTCGCTCGGGCGGCTGCTGCTCTCGATGGACGTCTCGCCGCTGCCGCGACCCGGTGAGAGCGCGCCGCGGCCGACGACCGAGCTCTCGCTGGCGATCCTTGACGCCTATCGCCACCTTGCTGACGTGGCGCGGGCGTTCCGCGGCGAGCTTGACGTCCACGGCGCGGCAGCAAGCGCTGCGTCAGACACGCTGGCCGAGGTGGTCAAGCGGCTGCGGGCGTGTGCCGCCAACTGCGCGCCCATTGCTTCAACTGACGGCAAGCCTGCAGCTGTTGCCTCAGCTTGGCCTGCCCTGGAGCACACCGTCACCGCCCTCGTTGACGCCGTGGATGCCGAGCCGCTGCTTGCCGACTACGCCGCGCCGGTCCGCGCCGCCTGGCACCGGCTCTCGGCCTCGTTTGGCGTCTATCACGCTGCAGCAGGCAGCGCTCCGCCACCCGAGGCCGTGCAGGCTGAACATGCCGCCGCCCTTACCTCGTGGGCTGACGTCCTTGTCTCAGCCGACCTTCCGGCATGGACGTCAGCTCTCGCACCGCCGGCCAGCGATCACGATGACGACGACCACGGCGACAACGGCGCTGCCGATAGCGAGACGCCGCCTGCGGCCGAGGGTCATCCGGAGGTCCAGGTGCCTACGTCAATGGCAGAGCCCGTCAAGGGTGGCGATGACGAGGTGTTCAACGAGGCGCTGCCGTTTCTTGCGGTGGCGTACGAGGCGCTTGACGACGTGGCACTCGATGTGTACTCGCAGTACAAGGCGGCCAAGTCGTACGCGGACGACGCCGAGTCGGGCATTGACACCGAGGCGCTGGCGTTGGTCATCGGACCCATCCGCGAAGCGGCGTCGGTAACGCGCAAGTGCCTCAAAAAGTCAGCCGGCTCGTTCACCAAGCTTGAGCGCAAGTGGCCGCAGGCCGAGTCGGCGTACCTCGACCTCATTGACGCCATGCACGAGCTCGGAACCGGCTCGCTCCCGCAGATGGCCAACATGCTGCAGGCGGCGCTTGATCGGCTGGCGACGTCGGTGATGGACGTCACGTCGCGGCCGAGCTCGCTGGCCGAACAGCAGCGACACGCCCAGCTTCTCGAGGCGTTCGGCTCGTCGCTCTCCGAGTCTGCGGCAGGTGTGGTGGACCAGGTGTGCGCTGCGGTGCTGACGCCGAGGCACGGCGTGCCAGCGTCGTCGCCGGCAGAGTCACCACAGCCAGAGGCTCTGGCCGCGAGCACCGGCCTGCCGCCACCACCGCCACCGCTCACGACCGCGCCTGCAGCAGAGGCTGTTGTGGTGACAGCGGTGACAGTCGAGACGGACGAGGCAGATGGTGCGCCTAGCGTTTCCGGCGGGGCACTGCCACCGCCGCCACCGCCAATGGCCGCCACCGATCCGGCCGATGGTCGCGATGGCGCTGGTGGCCAGAGTGCCGACGACGGCGATGGCATCCTGAGTGACGACCTCGATGACTTACTCGGTGACATCGAGATTGGGACCGAGGAGGAGGCTGCGCTGGCGGCGGAAGACTTTGATGCTCTGGTCAATGGCAACATCCAGCTGAGCGAAGATGCGGAAGAGGTTGCGGGGATCAGGACGGACGGCAAGAGCGGCGACGAGCTCGGCCTGCTGCTGGAGACTGGAGACGAGCTGGGTCTCCTCGAGTCTGATGGGATTCTGGAGTTTGGTCTCAGCACCGGCGGCGGAAGCGACGACGTCGTGCTTGTGTCGGACGCCGTGCTCGACGAGCTCTCGCAGCTTGATGGGATGGACGCAGCCGGGCTTGATGCGCAAATTCGGCTGCTGGAGTACAAGCCGCCGTCTGAAGTCCAGACATTGTTCCCAGAGGAGGACGACTACTTTGCGACAACGCAGCTGCCTTTCTATGCGGCGCGGGCGTTGCTCTTCCTCCGGCACAATGACGAGTGGCGAGTGCTTCTGCGGCACGTGGCGCATACCCGGGCCTTTGTGCTCTTCCTCAAGTTTGTTGTGGGTGTGCCTGTGCCTGTGATGGGCCGGCTGGTGATGCGCGGCGACGTGCCTGTTGACTTTGTGATGTTTGAGCTTGGACGAGCGATGTCAAACGGCGAGCTGAAGCTGCTTGCCGGCTCGACGTTGGAGGAGATCTTTGCGGCGTATGTGCGGGCGTCGCCAGAGCACAGCGACCCGCTGGGGCGACCAAGGCTTGCCGTCAAGTGCGCACGGAGCTTTTGGCGGCGGGCGCGAGCTGTAGTGGCGGGACGGGCAGCATCGCTGCTGCGCAGCCGCGGCGACGGGCGCGACGCGAACCACGCAACGTCGTGGGCGTTGCCGCGGCCGGTCCGCGAGATCCACGGACATGCGAGCGAACAGGCGCGACAGAGACTGGCGGAGACGGAGCGCGAGCGTGTGGTGCTCCAGGAGAGCGTGGCGGGCCGGACGATGGCGACAGAGTCTGAGGCATCGTTTGCGGCGTCGCAGTCTGCGCTAGATCCTGTCCACGACGCCGAGGCCAAGCGCGGGCTGGCGGGTGCCCTGGCGTCTGTCCGTCGGGAGACCGGGTTTGCGGGCAAGGTGCGGACGATTGACAACGAGTTTGGCGAGCCGCTGCCGTCGCTTGTGCAGCCGTCGAGCGAAACGTTGCTCCACCTGCTACAGGTGCCCAGCGAGGAAGTGGAGGAGGCCGCGCTGGAGCGGATGGTGGCGACAAAGCCGAGCGGCGTCGAGGCGGATGCGGCTGAGGCTGCTGATGGCATGCAGTGGTTCCCAGTGAGCAAGGCGCTAGAGCTCCTCGAGCTGCGGGGCAAGACGGCGGCGGACGATCTTGAGTCGCTGATGCTGGCGGACTCGCTTATCTCGTCGCTGGATAGCGATGCGGTTGTGGCGGCGCTCCCGTCGTCGCCGGAGCTGCTTTCGTTTACGGTCCGCGGGATGGCTGCAGTGGCGGCCGAGTTTGCAAACGCTGTGGGGAGCGGGAAGTACCTGTACGGAACGTGTTTCAAGTACACACTGGAGGCGCTGGGTACTGCGCCGCGTGCGGAGGTCTCGCGGAGCGAGCTTGTAGGAGGTGACGAGAGCGAGTCTGTCATTTCTGGCGGCGACGGGCTCACGCGGCGGTTTGCGGTGAGCGTGAGCTGGTCGCCGGCCAAGTCGACGTCGAAGCTTGTGCTGCAGCGGGTGAGCGATGGGCGACTGTTTGGGTGCGGGGCGCGGCTTGTGGGTCGCGAGCTTGTGCGGCTGAGCGGGGCGGGCGCGTCGCCGCATGCGCCGCTGAAGCTGATGGCGCTTGCGCTGGTCACGCTCGCGATGGACTACCGGTTTCTGGTGTGGCGCGGGTCTGCTGCACGGACGGCGGCGATGCCGCATCACCCGCCAAACACATTGCCATGGAGTGAGGGCCGGAGCGCGAGCGACGCGCACAAGGTGCTTAAGGGCGGGCTCGGGCGGTGGATCAAGTTGCAGGCGGCGATGCACTTTGGGGCTGCGGCGCCGGTGGCACCGCCTCGGCTCGGCCTGGTCCAGGCGCAGGCAGCGCGGGCGGCACGCAAGGCGCGGGCGGCGCTGCGGCGCAAGGCTGTCCGCAGACGCAAGACCAAGTGGCACAAGTACTGGCAGCACAGCGGGATCGAGCCGCGAGCGGATGCCAACCTCGATGCGCTGGACGAGGCGCTCGGCGGCGAGGGCGGCGACGAGTCGAGCCTGGATGACTCTGAGCTTGCCGATGATGAGTGGGAGTAAAGCAGAGGGCAGCCAGGCAGGCCAAGTTTACCGCTCGAGCAATGCGTGTGCTCTGCATCAGTTTGCCACGTGATCAAAGTAGGCGTCGCAGCCAGATGCGCATGCGCGAGCGCACTTGTGCGGCTCTGTGGAGCCGCGGAGCTCTTCGGAGACGTCACAGGAGACGGAGCAGACTTCGTAGCAGCCCTCGCGCATGGCGTGGATGATCTTGTTCATCTGGGCCTGAATGGCATCTGTCTCTTCCCCATTGTACACGATGGCATCGTTGTCAGGCGAGGCGATGTCGAGGACGGCCTTGAGCGAGTCCTCGGTCATGTACGACGACGGCCGTGCGGCGAGAGTGCAGCCTGCCATACAGGCGACCTTGAATTGTGCCATCTTCTCGTAGTGCTTGCCCTTGCCCCGCGCGCCTCGCATCAGCCGTTGCATGTATCTGTGATGAGGCGGTGTGAGTGTGAGTGTGAGTGTGAGTGTGAGTGTGAGTGTGAGTGTGAGTGTGAGTGTGAGTGTGATGAGTGCGGTGATGGTGATGGTGGTGGGTGGTGGTGGTCCGTACCGAGAGGGATTGCAGGTGAGGGCACATTGCTCACGCAGCAGAGCAGCAGCAATGTTATGGTCGAGCTCAGTAGCCATGGCAGTATGTCAGAGGAGTGTGTGGCCTTGGCCTTGGTTTTGTTCTCTGTCAAAGTGGTTGAAATGGAATGTCAGGCAAGCGAACAGTGCCGCCGCGGGCAGGAGGCTGCCGTTGGCCAGGCGGCTGCTCGTGGCTGGCGTCGGATAGCACCTGCGCGTGCTTGGGGGTCGGCGGTCCGATTGCGTCTGCGCAGAAGATGGGTAGCACAATCTGCACGTATGTGCCCTGGTCCGATTGCGTCTGCGCAGAAGATGGGTAGCACAATCTGCACGTATGTGCCCTGGTCCGATTGCGTCTGCGCAGAAATCTCATTCCAAGCCACGCCCCACCTCCAGCGAACAACGGCAGAACCCTCTCCCCTTTCCACCCTCTCCACACCATTTCCTTCCACTGCACTCCCACCACTCTCCCCCCCTCCCCTCCCCCTCCCCCTCCCCCCTCCCATCTGCAATGGTGTTCGGGTATGTCCCCCTTTCTCCCCCCTCCCCCTCCCCCTTCTCCCCCCTATCCTCCCCTTCCCCCTCCCCTGTCCCCACTCACACCCGCATTGCTCCCCCCCCCCCCCCCCGTCCCCACTACAGACGCAAGAAGAAGAAGCAGAGCCAGAAGAAGAAGAAGAAGAACAAGAGGAGGAGGAGCAAGGGAAGTTCATCGAGCTCATCGTATGGATCTGGATCTGGATCTGTTCCACCGCCTGCGGCTGATCCCTTGGCTTTGAGGTATGCTCGTGGTTCGCTCGTCCTCAAGCGCATTCTCTCAAAGCAGCAGTATGGCATTGATGATCAAGCGCTGGTGCTTGAGGAGATGGACTCGGAGGAGGAGTACTCGTCATCGAGTGGTGGCAAGGGCAAGAAGAGCAAGAAGAGCAAGAAGAGCAAGAAGGGCAAGAAGGGCAAGGGCCACCACGACAAGATCGGTAACTTTGCCAAGGCCAACCGCAAGGTCAACCTGAGACTACTCCCACGGGAAGATGCCGTGTGTCATGCTGTGGTGGAGACCTTCAAGTCCTCGCTTCCCTCGATTCGGGTCGATGCTGTGGTGGATGTCGACTCGCCGGCGGTGAGGAAGTTTGCTCGGGCAAAGGACAAAGTGGCGAAGAAGCGCCCGCTCCTCGCCCGCAACAACCTCATTGTCCGCAGACTCTTCTTTGGTGCCAGGCCTGCCTGCCGCTTCTCGCTCGGCGGTGAGCTCGAGCTTTGCTCGCTCACGGGCTGCCAGCTCTGCGCCGTTCTTCGCGGCAACGGCTACCCAGTGTCTGCCATCGAGGCACCGGTCGGCGTCGAGGCGTCTGGCAGCAGCTCCGCTTCCGACGACGGCCACACTGGCATTATCTTTTCCACTACCGCCGAGGACGCCGCCCGCATGGCTGCCGCTGATGCGTCGGTGCTGGGCAAGACCGGGCGTGTGGCGGTTGTCTCATGCCTCGTTGTCGTCGGCGAGTCCAAGAGCGTGTGGTCCGCAGACGAGGTCGACTCCGTCCCGCCAAAGGGCTTTGACTCGGTGACACAAGAGCCTGCCGACGCCGAGCACTTTGCAGGCAGCTACACGGTGCAGCGAGTGGTTGTCGGCTCTGCCGATGCGGCCATGCCTGTCCAAGTCGTTGTCTTTGGCGGCCAGCACGGTCTCGAGCTGTGTGCGGCGTGCGGGCGGTCGTGCGCCATCCTCGAGACCCAAGACGCAGTCGTCAGTGGCGAGTACGGCAAGTTCTGCTCGGCCGATTGCGAGGCGAGCTTGGTGGCCATGATCGACACCGTCGAGGCCCGCATGACCCAGACCGACACCAAGCTCAAAGTCCCTGCCCACTGGTCGGTGACGACGGCGGTCAAGGGCTCCGACTCGAGCTCGGCATCCGAGTCCGAGGAGAACGACTGCGACCTCATCGACGTCGCCGGCTCGGTCGAGGCCGCAGTCCTCTACAAGAAGCTCTCCGAGACGCTCGAGGGCGTCACGTTCCAGGGCATCTACCGGATCCAGTCGCCGCACCTCCACGCCATGTACCGGCGCCAGCTCAAGACGATGACCAAGACTGCCGCCGACGGCGACGTCGACGAGCTGCTCCTCTTCTCGGGCTGCCACGGCCTCGCGCCCGACGAGATCTACAACTCGCTTGACGGCTTTGACTTTAAGCTCGTCTCGGGCGACCTCGGGCGCGCCTGGCACTTTGGTCCGGCCTCGTTTGCAGACAGGGCCGCCATGCGTGAGGCCAACGGCTTCCGCACCATCCTCGTAGCCAAGGTCGCGCTTGGTGCCTGCGGCGACGTCACAGTCGACCCGTACCGCAAGCTCCCGCCGCTGATGGAGAACCCGGACGTGGTCGGCGAGGCCAAGGTCAAGTCCAAGGGCTCCAGCTCCAAGAAGGGCAAAGCCAAAAAGTCCAAGAAGGGCAAGACCGTCAAGCGCCGCTACGACACCATCACTGCCGCCGTCGGTGAGGAGAAGCTCTACGCCATGTTCACCAACAAGAACGCGTACCCGGCGTATGTCATCACCTACACCGCCCCCGACAACGACAAATACGCCCCGAACTCCATCCAATCCGACTGGTAGTACAGGTAGATCAGCTCGCCCGCGACCCCCTCCCCCCACATAAACCAAGATTGCAGCCGAGATCGCCGTCCGCACTCCAGCTTACGCCTCAACGCCCACTGATCCTCACCCATGCCGCCTGCCCGCCCACCCACCCAACCACCAGCCGGCCCGTCCGTCCGTCGCCCGTCCGTCCGTCGCCCGTCCGTCCGTCGCCCGTCCGGCGGCTCAACTCCCATGCCCCACGCCACCCAACCACCCACCACCCCTCTCTCATGACCTGGATAACCCGACGCAGCGCATGCCAATGCAGCGTACGCCCGTCTTCCCCTCTCCTCTCCTCCCCGCCCCTCCCCCCTCCCCCCTCCTTCCTTTTTACTCACAGTGCCCTTGGTCTGCCGCGTCCTCCCCCCCCCCCCCCCCCCCCCCCTCCGGCTGACTGGCTGACTGGTTGACTGGCTGACTGTAGGTGGTGGTGGTGATACTGGTGGTGGTGGTGGGGCCTCAGCTGCTGAACACGTGGCAAAGACCGTCTGTTCGGAGATCTTTTTCTGCATGCATGCATGAACGGGCACACCCTTTGGAGGCGTTTTCACGGATCGGGCAATTGGCTGATTCAGAGAAATTGGCTCAGGCTTTGCATGGTTACGCTATGCTCCATCACAAGATCGTGGAGCCAGAGTCGGGCATGGCCAACTCGGAGAGGAAAACCCTCATCTACCGCGCAAGAGCTGGCCTCGGCAACCGCATGCTCTCCTCGGTCTCGGCTCTGTTGCTAGCTATGCTGACAGATCGGGCTCTGTTGGTGGAGTGGCCCGATGTTAACGTTCACGACGTCTTCTGCGAGCCGCCAGGCATCGATTGGGACTACATCTTGTGGAGGGAGGAGATGGAGGCAAAGGGTCTGGGTGGCTACAACACTTGGCTTCCGCACAGGCTCTGCCTCGTCGACGACATCTGTCTCTACCCACCTGGAGACTCGACCGGATCGCTGACAATCAATGGCGCTGCCGGCGAGACGCCGGTCTTGGCTGACCTCGTGTGTGGCGACATCGAGCAGGCGCTCACTCACCAGCACGTCTTCCTCACCTCGACCCAGTACTTTGTGCCACTGCTCTTTGCCAACCCGGTCTACGCAGCTAAGCTCAATGACTGGTTCCCCAACGGCCGCATCGCGCACGCACTTTTGCACTACCTCTTTCAGCCGGTGGATCCGGTCACGGCTGCCGTCGACGCCTTTGTCGCCGACGCCTTTGTTCCGGGCAACACTGTCGGGCTTCAGATTCGCTCGGCACCCATCTTTTACTTTATGCCGGGCCTGTACTCGTCCAAGGACGACGCGGCAGCGTCGATCACTGCAACGATGGCCACCTGCGTCGACGAGGTCCTTCCCACCGCGTCTGAGCCGATTGTGGCCGATCCAGCCACCGCCAAGCTCATGGTCGCCTCGATGCACGCCGATGCCAAGCGGTCGCTCGTGGACAAGTATGGAGACCGAGTGGTACTCTACGGCGGCGCGACGGCCAAGGGCGACGACCTCTCGGTCGGGGACACCCGCGAGGCGCTGGTCGACATCCTCCTCCTCGCGCGCACCGATGCGCTCGTCGCCTCGCCGCTCTCGACCTTTGCGTACACCGCTGCCGCCATCGGTCGCATCAAACCCATCAACATCCACGTTGACGTCCCGTCACCTTGGAGCGACGACTCCATTCTCGAGCCCATCTGCCGGCTCCCGCCTGCCAACGAGCCGTTCCCGGAGCCGTGCCTCCACGCCAACACCTCGTTTGACATGGCCATCCCCATGCCGACCTGCCCGCAAGCGCCACTCCCGGCCTTCCTCCTCCGCGCCCCCGGCCTCTGCTGATCGCCACCGTAGCATTTGCTTCAGAGATGCGCACTGATCGCGCACTGATTGTAAAGTCACCGACGGCGTCCTTCTTGCTTGCCGGCCACCAGGGTGACGGACGGCCACTCGACCCGGCACTGGTATGCCTTGATATGGCACATCACATCCTTATCCACCCCAAGCACCAAGCTCATACCAACACAAGCCAGCAGCAACTACTTTAGCAATATCTCAAATTCTTTCTTTCATTGTCCGCCACCATCGCCGTATCGCCGCCGCCCAAAGTCTGCCGGCTGTCCGCGGTTTCGTGGCTCGCCGCCCCCCCGCCGGCCTGCCGCCCGACCAACTGGCACTCGGCCAAAGTGAGAGGCACCCGTCGCGAGTGTGTAGACAGGGAGGAGGAAGGGGGAAGCAGGGAATGGACGCGCTTGCGGGGCTCTCCCAGTCTGTGGATACCCTTTGTGAGCAGTTACACCTACCTGCACCGCATGTGTCTACACCTGTGCGGAGATACGGTCATGAGTATAGTGGTGGTGGTGAGCCTCGTGGCGGAGACGGCGACATGGCGGGCGACGGAGCGACCATGATGATGGCAGGGAATGCTGGTGATGCTAGTGCTGCTGGTGCTGATGGGGATGATGATGAAATAATGGCACACATGGATGAAGCATGGTCAACGACCATGATGGGATCACAAGAGAGTATGGCGTTTTTGGCGCGAGAGTTGCGGGAAACGTCAAGCAAGCTGGAGATGGCCCTGGCGAGAGCTCGAACTGCTGAAGAAGCTGCTCGGCAAGCTGCTGAGGGGAAGAGGCGGTTGGAACTGGTCCTGGGTGAGGTCACGGATGCTCATTGGGACTGGCTCGTCGAGGCGCTGGAGGAGGGCGGCATCGATGGTATGCGCCAGCGCATCGCAGACCTACACAATGATCTCGAGGCGTGTGCAACAGAGGCGAGGGCAGCCGAGGTTGCTGCCGGCGAGCGATGCGGGGCGGCCGAGGAGCGAGCACGGATTGCCGAGGCCCGCGCCGATGAGGCCGAAGCTCGCGAAGCCGAGACTGCCAGTCGTGCAGAGGAGGTTCAGCGGCAGGTGGCCGCACTGGAGCTGCGTCTGCGCGAGGAGATGGCGTCGGTCACCACTGCTGCTGAGCATACAGTAGCTGCGGCTGAGGCAAGGATTCGCCAACTTGAGGGCGATGTCGAGGCTGCGCTCCAACAGACTGCTGATGCCGAGGCTCGGACGGCCAGCCTCGCGGCCGAGGCTGTCGAGATTGACGAGGTCCAGCGGATGGTTGACGAGCTCGAGAACGACATTTTTGCTGCGCAGCGAGCCCAGAACGACGCCGAAGCACGTGCTGCCGATGCCGAGAAACTGTTGGAAGATCTGGGTGCAGCATCGGTGTTTGCTTTGAGGAACGAGGTTGAGGCACAGAAGAGTGAGCTGAAGTCGCTGCGGGCGACGCTCGCCGAGTCATCTGCACGCGCCGCCAAGCTTGCCAAGGTCGAGAAAGAGCTCATTGCCTGCGAGTTTCGGGTCGAGGACGCCGAGATGCGGTGTCTACTGGCAGAAGAGCGAGCAGAAGCCAGAGAGGGCGAACTGGATGCCGAGGTAGCGGCCAGGGCGGAGCTGGCAGAGTCAGCGGCCGCAGCAGAGCGTGACTACGAGGCCCGCATCCGCGAACTTGTCGGCGCTGCGGCACATGCCGACAGCGGAGCGCGGCTTGAGATGCGCGATCTCAAGATGCAGGTCAAGCTCTTGGAAGCGAGACTTTCAGAGGCGACTACCGGTGCGAGCCAGATGGAGCACCGACTCTGCGGTGAGGTAGCTGAGCTGGAAGCTGCCCTTGCGGTGGAGCGACGGGCACTTGCCGACGCGCGTAGCACTGCGGCTCAGCTGCAGCGCAGGCTTGATGCTGCTGCCGACAAGCAGACGTCGACAACGGCAGGTGCAAAGAACGAGATTCGTGAGCTTGAAGAGCGCTGTGCACGACTCGAGAGCGAGGTTGCCAACGCCAAAAGCAGTGCGAGTGTGCGGCTTGCTCAGCTCAACGCAGAGCTGGAGGCGTCACACTCGCGTGCTGCGGAAGCCCATGATGCGGCGAACCGACTGCAGCGCGAGCTTGATCGTGCTCGGCGCAAGCAGGAGTCCCTTGCGGCGGAGAGCGGAGGGAGGGTGACTGAGCTGGAGGCACGATGCATCGAGCTCGAGACCGAGCTGTCTGAACATGGACAGGCCGCAGCCGCACGCATGGCCCAGCTGGAAGACGCATGTTTCCAAGCTCAGAAAGAGGCTCGGCGTGCTACGGAGAATGCAGATGCCAACCAGCGAGCCGCGGTCAGTGCACGCGATGTTGCCGCCGATGCAGAGCGGGCGACCAAGGCAGCTGAGAAGGAGATTGAGCAGCGAGTTGCCGAGCTCACTGAGAGCCGGGCGCAAAGTGCTGCTGCGATTGCCAAGGCGCGTCACGAGGTCCACGAGCTTCAGCACGAACTTGCTGCCATACAGGCGTCGGGCGGTCTGGACGCGGCCGCCGAGCGTGATACCGCGGTCGTCCGCGCCGACGAGCTAACAAGGCAGCTGGTAGAGCTCCAGGCACAGGCATCGGATGCCGAAGTCGAGCTGCGGCGGAGCAAGAGCGAGTTGGAGCGATTGCGGGAGGCTGCTGCCACGCACAGCATGGCGCTGGCGGAGCAACGCGAGGTTGCTGATGCAGCAGAGGCCAAGGTGAAGACGCTGCAGGCCGCGCTTGCACACCAGGAGCGCGAGACAAAGCGGGCTGAGGCCGAAATGGGCCATGTTCGTGTTCAGATGGAGGAAGCGGAGCAGAGCCTCGATTTGGTGCAGCAGCGAGCCCAGGAGGCCGAGACTGAGGCGGCGCGGATGCGCAGCCGTGTCGCGGGAGTCGAGCTGCAGTTGGTGCGAGCTGGAGAGGCCCACGTTCTTGCCGACAAGCTCGCCAGTGTGGAGGTGGCTCGCGACGAAGCACTGAGCGCAACGGCTACTGCCGAATGTCGTCTCTGCGAGGCAGAGTCCCAGCTCATTGTTGAGCAGGATCGGGCTGCGGCGGCCGAGAAGAGTGCGCGCGAAGCGCTGTCGGAGCTTGCCGCAGCGCGCAAGCGGGCAGCCGAGGCGGAGGCCAGCGCGGCTTGCCGTGTGCGCGAGCTGGAGGATGACCTCGCGGCTGCGCGCAGGCTGGCTGTAGAGGCAGAAGCCACCTCCATTCGGCAGGCTCGGGACCTTGAGGCCGACCTTGCTGCTGCGCGCAAGCAAGCTGCAGAGGCGGAAGTCACCGCGGCTCGCCGTGCGCAGCAAGCGGAGGCTGACATCGCAGCTGCGCGTAAGCAAGTAGCAGCTATTGAGGCCTCTTCGGATCGCCGTGCGCGCGAGCTTGAGACTGATCTGGCGGCTGCACGCAAGCAGGCTGCAGAAGCTGATGTGGCTGCGGCTCGTCGTGTGAGCGAGCTGGAATCTGACCTCGCAGCTGCACGTCAGCAGACTGCAGTGGCTGACGATGCCGGGCGACGCCGTGCGCAGGAACTGGAGACCGATCTGGCGGCTGCACGCAAGCAGGCTGCAGAAGCCGATGCGACTGCGGCTCGTCGTGTGAGCGAGCTGGAAGCTGACCTCGCTGCCGCAGAGAAGAGGGCAACCGAGGTGGAAGCTACCGCTGCCCGCCACGTGCAGCTACTAGAAGCTGACCTCGCAACTGCACGTCAACAGACTGCAGAGGCTGACGACGCCGGGCGACGCCGTGCGCGGGAACTGGAGACCGAACTGGCGGCTGCACGCAAGCAGGCTGCAGAAGCTGATGCGACTGCGGCTCGTCGTGTGAGCGAGCTGGAAGCTGACCTCGCAACTGCACGTCAACAGACTGCAGAGGCTGACGATGCCGGGCGACGCCGTGCGCAGGAACTGGAGACCGAACTGGCGGCTGCACGCAAGCAGGCTGCAGAAGCCGATGCGACTGCGGCTCGTCGTGTGAGTGAGCTGGAAGCTGACCTCGCAACTGCACGTCAGCAGACTGCAGAGGCTGACGACGCCGGGCGACGCCGTGCGCAGGAACTGGAGACCGAACTGGCGACCATGCGCAGGCAGGCTGCAGAAGCTGATGCGACTGCGGCTCGTCGTGTGAGCGAGCTGGAAGCTGACCTCGCTGCCGCAGAGAAGAAGGCGACCGAGGTGGAAGCTACCGCTGCCCGCCACGTGCAGCAACTGGAAGCTGACCTCGCAGCTGCACGTCAGCAGACTGCAGAGGCTGACGGTGCCGGGCGACGCCGTGCGCAGGAACTGGAGACCGAACTGGCGACCATGCGCAGGCAGGCTGCAGAAGCTGATGCGGCTGCGGCTCGTCGTGTGAGCGAGCTAGAGGCTGACCTTGCAACTGTACGCAAGCGGCAGCAGAGGCTGACGATGCCGGGCGACGCCGTGCGCAGGAACTGGAGACCGATCTGGCGGCTGCACGCAGGCAGGCTGCAGAAGCTGATGCGGCTGCGGCTCGTCGTGTGAGCGAGCTGGAAGCTGACCTCGCAACTGCACGTCAACAGACTGCAGAGGCTGACGATGCCGGGCGACGCCGTGCGCAGGAACTGGAGACCGAACTGGCGGCTGCACGCAAGACAGTCAGCGAGGCCGAAGCTGCCGCCCACGTCCAGGTCGGCAAGCTGGAGGCGGATCTTGCCTCCTCGCGGCGACAGATACACACGATGGAGGCCCAGCTCAGGCGATCGACACTAGAAGCTCGCCCGGATGACCGCTCGCACACGTTGGCACGGATCGAGTCGCTCGAGAGCGAGCCCAGCCAAACGCGACAGGCACTTCATGTCCAGGCACGAGGCCCGGGCGCGGGTCTGCAACTGCGCGACTTGGATGCCCGCGACCAGGCCGTACAGGTGCTACAGGCCGAGCTGTCACTAGTGCGAGCCGAACTCGCTGCAAGTCGTGCTTCTCCGCGGCTCACCGGCGAGACTGATGCACAAGCATCTCGGACACGAGCCGAAGAAGACCAGGGGCTACATGTCACGGTGCGCGACCTCGAGTCGCAGATCGTCCACACAAGCGCGCGCTCGACTCAGCTGGAGAACGAGTTACGGTCTACCCGCCAGCGGGCGCGCGCGGCCGAAGACGGGCGTCTCGATATGGAGCACAGGCTGCGGTCGGTCCAAGCCGAACTTGACTCTGCCACCAGGCGCGTCAGGGAAGTGGAGGCCGAGAATGTGAGCGTGTTGCAGCGTTTGGCGGCGGCACGCGAGGAGAGTAGCACGTTCGAGTCGCGATTGAGTGGTTTGCGCATGCAGCTCGAGTCGGTGGCACGCGAACGTGATGCTGCTCGTGCCACAGAGGCTGTAGCACGCTCAAGCGACGCTACTGTCTGCGACGAACTCGAGCGCGCGTTGGGCGCAGCACGGCGTAAGCTCAAGCTCGCGCGTCATGACGCTGAAAGCAAGGATCGTACCATGGAGAATCTCCGGCACGAGTTGGCTACAGTCAAGACCGAGAGCCATCGCAAGCTGGAGGATGCGCAGCAGAAGCTGATGCAAGCTCGGGGCGACGCTGAAGCGCACAAGAACGAGCTGGCACGACTTCGGCAGCGTCTAGAGGCTGCAGACAACGATCTTCACGTCGCGACAAGTGCTGCCCGCAGAGATGCAGATGACAAGAGGCTCGAACTGAGGCTCATGGAAGATGCCGTTGAAGCCGCTCGTCGCCAGGCGAAGGCTGCGCGTGGGGATGCGGAAGAGAAGAGTTGTTTGCTTGTAGCTGCCGAAGATGCGCTGGCAAAGGCTCGCCGCGAGCTGGAGAACGCCCATGACGAGGCAGAAGGCACGACTCGCAAGCTTGCGACCGCCAAGTCCCAGGTCGAGGCCAAGGATCGCCAACTGGCAGCGGCCGAAGAGGAGCTGGCGTCCACCCGCCGCACGCTGACAACCGCCGAGTCCCAGGTCGAGGCCAAGGATCGACAGCTGTCAGCGGCCGAGTCGGAGCTGGCAACCACCCGCCGCACGCTGGCGACTGCCGAGTCCCAGGTCGAGGCCAAAGATCGACAGCTGGCAGCGGCCGAGTCGGAGCTGGCAACCACCCGCCGCACGCTGGCGACCGCCGAGTCCCAGGTCGAGGCCAAGGATCGACAGCTGTCAGCGGCCGAGTCGGAGCTGGCAACCACCCGCCGCACGCTGGCGACCGCCGAGTCCCAGGTCGAGGCCAAAGATCGACAGCTGGCAGCGGCCGAGTCGGAGCTGGCAACCACCCGCCGCACGCTGGCAACCGCCGAGTCCCAGGTCGAGACCAAGGATCGACAGCTGGCAGCGGCCGAGTCGGAGCTGGCGACCACCCGCCGCACGCTGGCAACCGCCGAGTCCCAGGTCGAGGCCAAGGATCGACAGCTGGCAGCGGCCGAGCACGACCTCTCGTTGGCACGGCAAAGGCTAGCGGCAGTTGAAGAGGACCTTTTCTCCACCCAGAGTATTCTGGCTGCAGGCCATACCGAGATTGCCTCCAAGGATCGACAGCTGGTGGCTGCTGAAGGCGATCTGTCCTCGGTTCGCCACAAGCTGGCTCTTGCCGAGGCTGAAATGCAAGAGAAGGCACTGACGCTGACCGCTGCTATGGCCCAAGCCGATGCCAAGGATCAACAGCTGGCAGTTGCCGCGGACGAGCTCATATCGGCACGGCGACAGCTGGCGAAAGCGGAAGATGAACTCGCATCCACCCGACGGCGACTGGCGGCGGCCGAAGACGAGCTCACGTCGACCAGGCGGCAACTGGCAGCGGCTCACGAGGACTTGACCCTCACTCGCCAGCAGCTCTCAACTGACGCCTCGTCCGCCATTGCCGAGACTGAGCAGCATGCTGCTTCTATTGCCGCTCATCTTGCCGAGACACAGGCCGCATACGCCGAGCTTCGCACAGAGTACGAGGCGCTCCAGGCGCGCCACGCACACGACATGCAGATGCTCGACGCGTCGGCAGCGGCGCACCTTGGCCATTCGGCCTCGCGCATCGCCGCACTCGAGGCAAGCCTCTCGGCATCGGCTTTGAGTGAGGCCGAGCTGGCTCAGTCGCGAAGCTACGGCCGCGAGCTTGTCTCGGTACGTCGCCAGCTCGCGACAGCCAACGACCAGCTCATGGCTCTGCGCGACGCGTACGACAGCCTCACCCACCATGTCGAGGCCAAGGATGAGCTCATCGCTGCGCTGCAGCTCGATGTTGATGCCGCCGTCACCCGCGCCGACGCGCTCGCGCTCGCCAACACTGAGCTCCACCACGCGGTCGACTACTATGGGTCGCTTTCATTCCGAGTCTGACGAGCCAGATCCGTCTTGCGGAATCAAGGTAAAGTGACGAATCGGCAGCGAGACAATCCGATCGACGAGCCGCTTGGTGGAGAGCCTGCTGGCGGGCTGGCGGGCCCAGCAGTCGTATAGGAGCGAGGCCATGTCCGGAGACAGGGAGTCCATGTCGTCGGGCATGACGCGTGCGGCGAGCAGGGCCTCAGTCGACGCGCCAAATGCCGGCTTGCCGGTCAGCAGCTCGTAGACGAGACAGCCAAAGGCAAAGATGTCACTGGCGGGCGTCGGCTCGGTGGCCGTTCCGTCGGCGAGCTCGGGGGCGAGGCCAGCGAGGCCCGGGTCCTCGCGGGCTTGCCCGGTGGCGGCGAGCAGACGATTGAGCCCACAGCCATCGACAAAGACGGTTTGACTCGCATCGGGAGCCTTGAGCATGACGTTGTTCGGTCGTAACGCGCCGTGCACTATGTCGTGGTTGTGGAGGACTGCCAGTCCATGTGCTACGCTGCGGACCGCAGTGTTAACAAAGACAGCCGAGCGGCGTCCGTCGCGGATGGCCGAACCAAGTGAGCCGAGACGGTAGAACGGGAGGACAACACCAACAAACGGCTTGGTCGCACACACACCGACCGGAACGACAAAGATCTCGCGGACCTCGCAAGGGAGCAGCGCCCACGACGCCAGTTCGGTCACGAGCGTCACAAGCGGCTTAACAGTCACGCTGCCTTGACTGAGCAAAGACTTGATCACCACCGGCATGCCCTTGTAGTTACTCACCAGCATGCGACACACGGTGCTGGCACCGGCCTCGCTCCCGCGCATAATCATAGACCGCATGACTGGGACCGAGAGCACGAGCTCGCACTTGAGCCGTGACGCCAGCGTCAGCGCCATGCGCAACTGCGAGGCCGAGCGCGAGCGCGACAGCTGGCGCGAGCGCGAGCGCGACAGTTGCTTCGACGATGACGTTCTCTTCCCCAAACGCCGGTTTTCCACCAGCGATTCGTGGAGTGAGAGCCGTGTCGGAAGCCGGGGCAGCGTCACCTCGGACGGCATACCGGCGAGCTCGAGGTTGGGTGCTGTTTTCGACAGCGACGGGTGGTCTATATCGAGCTGTATCATCGGCAGCCGACGGTTGGCGCCGCTGCCGTCAGTGGCAGGCAGCACTTGCGACGCCTTGCGCTTGACCTTGTCCTCGTCCTCGTCATCGACTTTGCCCTTGTCGGGTGACGACAGCGACGATGGTGGCGACGGCTTGAGCTGTGTGGTATCGGGCATACCGGGCTTGGGCTCATTCGAATCGGCGCCGGGCGCATCGGGTGCGCCGGCCGACGACGGGCAGAGTTCGGTGACAACAGAAACTGAGCTCTCGGAGGCTCTACGGGCGAGCTGCGGAGCGCCTTGCGGCCGCTCAACAAGCTGCGGGTGAGCCATGAGACCACGCCGGCCATTGGACCACGAGGCGACACGTGGAGGGCAGCGGGGAGCTGGCGGGAGCAGGGCGCTTACAGGCGTGCCCGAAGGCGAGTGCGAGGTGCCACGGGTGTGGGCATGGAGGTGAGTCCGCGACGCCATGGGGGAGGCCGACATTGAGAACGAGCCAGACGGCCCGCCGGCCCGCGAAGTTGACATGACTGTGCCTAGGGCAGGACATGAGAGGTCGCAGCGGTCTGAGATCAGCTCGAGGAGGGCGCCTGGGACGAGCTTAATGAGGCGAAGGGTGGGGCGGGGGACGGAGAGGCAGGCCGAGCTGAGGGCGGCCTTGATGCTTGGCTTGAGGCCTGGGTCGACAAAGAAGCCGTAGTTTCGGCCTGCAGCGGCGGCGGCTTCAGTGACGCTAGCCATGGCACAGACGACGGGCCCGCGGAAGACCCACTGGTGGTCGGCGGCTGCGGTGCCGGGCATGAGCTCCGAAGTGATGTCACCCTCAGCGGCGACGACAAAGAATGGCGGGTGCGCGGCCTCATGACCGGCGGCGAGGGCATCATAGCAGGCGTCGGCAAAGTCGAGGAGCTGGCGCGGAAGATCAAAGACGACCAGGGCGTCGCCAAGGGCCCAGTCGACGAGCGAGGCGCGCGAGGCAGCAACAGCAGAGGCGAGCATGTCATGGAATGCGTGTAGGGCGCGGCGGGCCTCAAGAGGGTCGTGCGCCAGCAAGGCCTTGCCGCTCGGACACGAGATGGTGGCGGCGAAAACATGGCCTGAGGGGCGGGCCTTGCGGACCGGAAGCTGGACCTTGGCTAGAGTGAACCTCGAGCAGAGAGTACTGGCGAGGGCAGCCGCCGAGGGCCGCTCGCGCGGGAGATGGTCCCACGCCGAGGCAACGAGTGGGACGAGGTCTGCAGCCCACGGCGGGATGTTGACGAGCGCGGGACGTGAGGTGCCGTGAACGACTTCAAGGGCAAGAGCGGCGATGCCTGAAGTCGGGTGGTAGGGCTCGTCGCGAGTGAGAAGCTCCCAGAGGACGATGGCGAACGAATAGATGTCGCTGGAGGGCGCGACGGCGTCAGCGCCACCTGCAAGGACTTCGGGAGCCGACCAAAAGACGTTTGTCCAATTCGATGAGGCCTTGGATGTCGTCGAGATTGAAGAAGCGACCGAGAGCAGGCCAAGCGAAGTGACAGCCTGGTTCGAGTACATACCGAGCTCAATGCCTGCAGGCTGGGGCCGACGCGGCGCGAGCCGCAGCACACACGCGAGCACCACGAGCGGGGCTTGGGAACCGAGTACGAGGAGAGCGATGAGGTCGGCGAGGTGACAGATGAAGAGGGAGGCGAGGCGCAGTGTGGCTGATGGGCGACGGAGAGGCCGGCAATTTTGGGGACCCAGCCGGCGGCGAGGAGGATGTTGAACGAAGAGAGCGAGCCGTGAGTGAGGCCACCAGACGTGTGGAGGTAGTCGAGGCCAGCGGCGATGGAAGCGGCCCACCAGAGGCGGAGCTCTGCACCGAGATCGAGCGAGTAGTCGTGAAGGACAGCATGAAGCGAGCCGTGCGGAGCATGTTCGAGGACGAGGCTGGGCGGCTTTGGGAGGACGCCGAGGACGCTGAGAATGTTGGGGTGATGTAGCGGGACAACGGCAGCGGCGTGGGTGCGGAGGCGGGCTAACACGGCGCGGGAGCCAGAGCGGTTCTCCTTGACGGCGACGTGGATGCCGCGCCACTTGGCGAGGTACACGGTGGCCTGGGCCGAGGTGGCGATGAGATTGAGCCGGCTAATGTCTGCGGAGCGGAGGAGGTAGTCGTCTGCGCGGGGGCAGGCAGGGGAGCGAAGACGAGGCAACATCAGGGCCTGTGCATCACGGCGCCGACGGAGACAGACGGCAGTGGTGATGACTGCAGCGATAACGATGATGATGATGCATGCGATGATGACCACGGAAACAGTGAGAAGCAGCGATGACGACGGCGGAAGCGGTGACACGGGCAGCGGCGGGTTAAAGATCGAGTCGGACAGAATGGACTTGCCGTCGCATGTGGCCTGGGCGAGGATGGCGAGGATGCTGGCGGCGTTGTCTTGCGGGAGCCCGGCGAGCCCGGCTTCGTTTGCGGCCATGGCGGGGATGTGCGAGGTGAGGATCCATTCGACAAAGTGGGCAAAGAGCGCGCGCTGGCGGCAGGAAGACTGTGAGGATCGTGGGGTGGAGAGAAAGGTGAGCGCAGCGAGCGGGTAGGCAAGTTCGGCATCAGGGTCAACGACAACTTGCGGGGGCGGCGACGAGGTGATGTGTGAGATGTTGCGGATGCCTGCTGCTGTTGCTGCTGCCGAGGGGAGGACAGCGTTGTTGTGGGCGTTGACCACAGCTGCGAGCGGCAGACCCGAATTGATGACGAGCGGGAGCGGAACAAAGGCGATACCGCCGGTGTCTGTGGCGGCGGTGAGGCCAGCGATGAGCTCAAGGTGTGAGGTGTGCCAGATGTCGCAGCGACGGACGCTTGCGGCGGATGGGGTAGATCCGATGGCCGAGGCGAGGGCGGCGTCGATGGCGGCGACGAGGGGCGAGGGCCCAGCGAGGGCGTGGAGGCATAGTGTGGCGTTGTGCGGGAGCCAGGGGGCGAGCTCGGGGTTGAGGGCAAGGAGCTCGGGGGATGTCCACTCTGTGACAGAGCCGGAGAGGATGGCGGCGACAAGGTCGATGGAGACGATGAGGCGTGCGGCCGTGGGCGGAAGGGTTGGCAGCTTGTAGACGACAGCGATGGGGTAGGCAAAGGTGGGGACGACGACTGAGGCGCCGTTAAGGTCGGAGAGCTGCGAGTCTGAACCCTCAAAACGTCGAGGTAGACCGAGGACGACGACGAGTAGCGGATAGGATTGTCTGTGAGGACGGCGAAGCGAGCGCTGAGGTCACGGTAGAGGTCTGCGGCGAGGGTGGGCCCAGAGCCCGATGCCATGGCGATGAGAGGGAGTGAGGGCGAGGCGTTGCAGACGACACGCTTGAGGGCGAGAAGGGTTGCGTCGAGGTCTGCGACCTGGAGCGGGGCGTGGCCTGTGATGGCGAGAGCGTCGTCTTGGAGCGATAGGAGAAAGGCGAAGCGGGCGACGGTGGCGGCGAGGGCGGTGCAATAGTCGTCGACGACGGCGCGGCGTGAGTGCGGGAGGATGGCGTACTCGCGGTAGAGGAGCGGCCAGGCCCCGGCGTCGCGGACGGTGTCGTAAGTGAGAGGCACAGGGTCTGTGACAGGTGCAGCGGCGATTGAGGAGTGCCGAGTGCTCGGGATGAGTGCCGGGACGGTAAAGGCGTGGCGCCAGGAGCGGGCCCAAAGCTCCGAGGTGATGATGGTGAAGGCGTTGGGGTGGAAAAGGCGATTTCGGCGGCGGAGGTCATGGGGACGAGTGGGAGCGACAGCGGTGTGACGTCCAAGACGGCCGCGACGACCGGGTCCGGGTGACGGATGATGCGGATGGCGGCGTTGGGGAGCGAGCCGGCGCAGCCCGGGTTGAGGGCGACGATGGCCGGGTGGTGCCAGTGGGCGACGTTGCCGATCCAGATGTCACGGAGCAGGTCTGTGGAGAGGATGAGCGAGGAGACCGAGGGGATGTTGACAATCGGGACGAGGTACGACGAGACGAGCGGAAGCGGCGGCGTGAGCTGCGAGGTGCAGCCATGCGCGTGGCTCTGCGGGCAGTACGAGGCGAGAAAGGTGGCTGGATTGGCGAGGCCAGCAGCCAAGACGCTGGTGGTGTGCGTTTCCGAGGTAGACGACGGCGTCTGCATCAGGTGCTCGACGGCGGTGGTGGCATCGTGGGGAGCAGCCGGATACTTGCCAGGCCTGCGCTTGCTAGTACTGGCGTGAGCAGGATCGATTGCGAGGCGGGAGCAACTGAGTAGACGTTGCTGGCGGTTGTCGAGTAGTAGGTCATATCATCGACTTGCTCATGATCTTCAACAGGCGCAGTGGTACCATCGTCCACAGCATGAAGATGTGGTATATGATGCGAGAGGAGGTATTCCAAAGATGATGATCCCGTCAACTGTGCAATGACTTGAGAATCGTCATCGTCAGCATGAGAAGCATAGACAACGACCCAAGTGGAGGTACTCAGCAAGCAGGTAAATATCATGACCGTTACCATGACCAGGCCGACCCGCATGCTATGTCGCATGGTGACCAGAGGTTGGGATGTGAGGAGAGAGGGCCTTATTTTGGTTTTTTGTACGAGGGGGGGTAGTTGCGAGAAAAAGTTCAGGTGCCCGACCCGATCGGTCCCTGCGGGAGTTGGTTAGGGGCAGCGCACGCGTGACGCTGCGCCGTGGTGCGGGAGGGCGGGTGGTGCGGGGAGGGAGGGTGGGGAGGGGTGGCGAGGGAGGAGGGGGGGGGGGGGGGGGGTGT